GGCTATGTCCCGGTTCCATTTACTTAAGAGTTTCTGTGTGTGTGCATGTATTGTCCAGAAATGAAACTCTGATGCAACAGTGCTCCCACACACATGTATACACAGTTGACGGTATATTTCAGAAGTGCTACAGTATGTATCAGCTGAGGCACAGACATACTTCCACCATTTAGGATACATTTGAGGGCTCAGGGAGCCAACAGCTGAGACCATGCAGGCTTGGTTCTACAGCTCTGATCCAGCTTGCTAACACAGGGCGCTACCCAGCTGGGAGCAACACACTCCAGCCATTGGGTCAGGGTTTCTCTCTTGAATCTCTGAACAGGCCCACTGAAACATGGGTCTATCATCGCAGCCTTTCATTTATTCCCCTTGCTCACCAATTTTAGGTCAAAGCTGCCAACTTTTTCTGGGTAATCTTGCAAACACAGGGGAGATAGACACCTGTGTTTGAGCTCAACATGGGCATCAAGATTATTTTAACAGCAAGGGGCTACAGGTCAGACAGAGTTCGAGCACCTGCACTGGTCACAAGCAACACACACACACACACACACGAGCACACAGATGCATCTAGTTTCTGTGGATTTGCCAAGTGGTTTTCCATTGACATCAATGACTGAGCATTCCCTCCTCACTTGTCATCATCAGGAATATCATGTGCTGTGTAACAGTATGGATTTCTTCCACCAGACAGGAAATCTTTGGGAGTGCCCATTGATCTGAATCCACCACCCCCGGTTCACCAGCTATCAATCAACGTCAAATAGCAGTTTTCGTGACCGTGCAATGCACCAGACTCCCAGAACAGTCTCGTTAATGAGTGCATGTGTAAATATATGAAAAGAAAGACAAATGAGAGTTTGTCTTTCACTCTTTCGTACACAGTCACACAAATGCAGCCAAACGCTGAAACAGTGAACCCCACAGTAAGAGCTACAAACTGGCTAACTCTTTGCTGACATGGACAACAAAAACAGCTTAAATGCCTTGTAAGCCAGGTGAACCCAGAACAAAAACTCTCCAGCAGAAAGACAGAAACATAGTGAGCTACATAGTGAAAGACAGAGCGAGACACAACATCACAGGCAGTTTTTTGTCAGATGAACAGTCAATATGAAAGACCCTGAAGCACAGATGATTTCACTCTCTAAACGTCAATCAATGAATCAAGGAGCCTACACATCAACCTCCAACTCTTAGCCTGTCAATATCCAAGTCTTGCAAAAAAACAGGGACTTACACTAGATTAACAGGAGGTATTTTCAAGACAATGGGCCACTATTCCACTAATCAACAGCCTTCAGGAACGTAAAGTAAAGGCAAAGCACGGCAGTGTTTTCTGATGCATTAGTGGAACACAGCAGTGTTTCAGCCCATCTTAAGTCATTGCACTGGCAAAAACACAAATCCACAATCTCCAGCTTTGTCAAACAAAGCTTTAAGATTCTGAAATACAAGAAGGCTGTTCCTCCAAACCTGTTACTCCAAACCCATTGAAACATTCAAAGGGAGTTCTAAATTTGAATAATGCATTGCACTGTGACATTGATTAGAGGCTCATGAGGCTAATACAGAACATCATCCAACATGAGAGACTAAACATGGGGCTAATTCAGTGTTCAGTGTGAAAAAAATAAGTTGATTGGCAATTGTGCAGAGATACAGTGTAAGAGTTATGAGGAAAACTGTTGACACAGTTCACATCCAGATACCTACTCAGTACAGGACCTATACCATTTCACAGACACAGTGCCCTGGCCAGGTTCCGCCATTCAAGCACAATAACTCTGTCTTTGGCTTGAAAATGGTCTCCATGCTTCTGTGGGTTTAGCCTCAATCAGTAGCCAGCCATGCAGGCACTCCATATCTATACACTCAAATCAGGCCCAATGACCACCTGACAAAGACAGAATCGTGCACATGATCTGCAGATGTGAAGAGAGATATGGGTCATATCAGAGACTGACAGACAGGCCTGGTGTACATTGAACAAATACTTTCTCAATCTGTTCTGAGTAGAAAAAACTGTAAAGACGTGCATCCTACTGTTTGCACTGTGCATGTAACATTGTTGCAGAACTGTCCTATGCATTTCAACATCCACAGTAAGTTGCTTAGCTTGAGTGTGCCAGCCAATGCTACCTTTGGGCCACGTGAGTGCGTGAGTGAGAGCCGAGGAGACTTTGGCTGTGTAGGGGATTAGATCAGGAAGCCAGAACCAATGTGGTGGCCGTGTGTGTGTGTGTGTGTGTGTGTGTGTGTGTGTGTGTGTGTGTGTGTGTGTGTCTCAGGACAAGGACTAATCACTTAATGAACACGGAACAGCACCACTCCTCTGAGCAGGACAGCCAGATCAACCAGAGGCCTTCCACTTTCTCCCCTCTAATAATACCAGCCAACCGCAGCCTGGTAAAGCTCACAGGGGATATAGCCCACTGGACGGTCCCAGCTGCCACTCATGATCGAGCCCAGCCCATTGGGTGCTCACAGTTGCTAGGCCAACCCTTTCTGTGGGGCCTGGGAAAGAAATCTGAAGGATTAACGAATAGTTAATGGGCGAATGGAATATTATGCACTGTCATTAATCTAAAATAGGTTTGGCATGGACTAGCTACACAGACGCCAGTAACCAAATTATTTTTCTAACACTGAACACACACACACGCACACACACACAATGCTGAGCTGAGCAGCTATGGCTGCACATTTGAAACATGAAAATGTAATTGGAAAAACCCAAGCCAAAAGCATTCAAGACGAATATACAGTACATCATTTAATTAGAATTTTCTGTCTAAGTGAAAAATCGTTAAAATTCTCCCAATTGAAAGTCAAATTGGTTTGACATGCGAGCCGAGTCATGGTCCACACTGACCTGTGACTTACTGCGCTTCCATGGGTCTGACATCGGAGGCTGGCAAGAAAACGCATCTAAATCTGCCTCAACACTCACATAAACACATCCTCAGCCGTGGATGATCTCAGAGAAACCGTATTATTAAATGTCTTTACTCAGCAGACCGCAGTGCCACCTCTATACCACCAAAAACAGCCATTAGACACTGAAAGTAAGACGACTCTGGCTGTGAGAGATCCTCCTGTGAACACAAATGATTAAATATGAGTAGCAGGAAAACAGGAGACTAGTCAAGGTGTTTTAATGCTGCATTTGTTATTAATCTGTAATGAACAAACCAACTGGAACATAGCCTACAACAGTAATTTCCATCGCTAGATCAGTCATCACATTGCAGATATAGAGAGAATGCAAGAGCTACACTGACTATGGATGCAGCAATTTCAAATGAATGAGGGACTTGTGTATGTATTTAAAATGCCCTGTAATGTCCTACAGTCAAAGAGGGGGGCAGAGTCTGTAGGGCAGGAGCGAGAAAAATTAAAAGGCTGCATGTGGTGAGGCACAAGTGCACAGAAAGTTGTGATGCATTCATGGTGAAACAATTCCAAACCCTTTTCTAGCATGTAGGGCAACCTAAATGGCACTTAATGGGCATTTTCTACATTTTAAGGCCACTCATTAGTGAACTGCATCACGTTTTCGCCACTGGATGGGCTGCCTACAGGGCAATTTACCACGTTTACTTGCACATTTCATACCATACAGACACTTTTGGAGCATTTTTTCAAACATGGGGGCACCAGAGTCTACCAGTGCCAACACCATGGGAAGGCAAAGAGACAAACTCCATTAATGAACACCGGGGACTCGCCAGGTGAATGAAGTGACCAGGAGAATATTTCAAGAAAGCATACTGTCTGACAGAACACAAAAACACACACACACACACACACACACACACACGGCTGCTCAGCATGACCAGCTGGACTGGGTAGGGGAAGTAACGCCTATTGTAGCCGTTTTAGACAACAGATGGGAGGAAAATCTCTCAGCAGAGAGGAGAGGAGTGGAGAGGAGAGGAAAAGTCTTTGACTCTCTCCCTCTCTCTGTCCCTCTTTAGGGGTGGTGAGCTTACAGAGCATGCTGCATCACTCTTGCCATCTTTGCCTACACAGGGCTGCGCCAGCCTCTCCTTTCGCATGGCTCCACTGGCTGCATGTAGTTGACCGCATTTTCACTGTACAGTCACCAATGCTGACAACAGGGCTGAACTACCATACAGTACTCATACACAGTACTCATACACAAGCAAGCCTTACCTACAATAACAGTCAAGCATCACCTAAAATAGCATGAAATATTAAAGAATTAAGTCCTCTTTTGCTATTAACTGTAGCCAACATGTGCTACTATATGCAACTTCAACAAACTGCAGTGTCATTGCTGTCTATGCTGAGCTAAAACATGTGCTCATTATTCAAAAAGCCCAGTTACATCCGCTGGGGTGTATGAATACAGATCAGTGTAGCTCTTATTTCCCAGTTCTGTGAGCAGCTCATGGTGTAATCTGTCAAGGTGGGACCCTCTACTCCACATCGGAGGAAACCCACGTATCACAGTCAGAGCCTATAGGAGAAACGCCAGCCTCCTTGCCTGCCTCCTTGCCTGCCTGCCTGCCTGCGGACTAAGAATAGATCAATGTATCAGGCAAATCGGGATTAACGCGGTGTGCTCCAATCACAGGACACACACACACACGCACGCAAAAAGTTCATTTTCATAACCCATCACCCTGTCATCGTTTTTGGTGTTGGAAGGTTTCCACGTTGCTCTGCTCCTGGATACACACACACACACACACACAGTCCAACGCCAACGCACAACCAACAAACCAATATAAAGCAACATCATCTAAATCCCTACTCGTCCCACTGTGTGAACAACGATTATGTCAGCTCATCGGAGAAACAACAACCTCCGAAATTCCCCACGAGGCTCGGCAGGTGTTTGTAACTAAGCGCTTAGTTATTTATCACCTGCAGACACCCAGCCGGCCAAATTTCAACTCGCTGCGGAGCGCTCCGAAAATAAATTGTGCAATTAAAGGGGATGCAGTGAGCAAGCTGTCCCAACTAACCTGTCTGTCCTTTCCCGAGCGTCTTCTCCAAACGGTAAGGTCCCACATAATTGGCATGTTGGGCACCACTGTTGTCTTTACCGGACGATGACATGTCGAATCTGTGTGAAAATTAGACACTTTACAATAAAGCGTAGACAATTAAGCACTCCTCGCTGGAGGTCCAAGGCGCTGTTCAGCTCCAGCTCCACAGCCTCTTCTCTTCCTCTCGCTCTTTCTCTGTCGCTTTCTGGCTCTTTTTCCTTACCTCACTCGCTTTTTGAGGAGGTGAGGTTGTCTCTTTCTCTCCTCTTTTCTCCTATCGCTGCAGACGAGCCGCAAGTGCCTTGAATATCATTGTCGGTGGACGCTGCGCTGCCGCTGTGCGTCTGTGGGAGGTGCTGCGGAGCCGTCGGAGATGATTGACAGCAGATACAGCCAACCAGAGAGCCGAAAACCCTATGCGCTGCCGCCCAATTTCTTGTTGCTGGAGCATTTTTGCTTTTTCCAGAAAAGTTGCAGGTTGCGGTCAAGAGAGTTTAAACCCACATAAACTCATTTAACTTGTAATGTAATTATTTTAGAGCAAAATGGAGGACACAGGAACACAACCTAGAACATGACGACTGGCTCTTCTTGAGGGTGAAAGATCAATTAAGGACTTTTTGAAAACACAAAAGATTTTTGTTATTTCTGTTGTCAACCAGCTGTTAACATCTTTTGTTGAAGATCATCTTCAAGACAGGCTATAAAAAGTATCCATCTCTAAATTATGGCTAATGTGTGAACAAAGTTACCTTGTTAAAAATTATTAAAATGGGATCTACTCCTTCTCCCTCATTAGAAAATCCAGAAACCATGATGATCATATATGTAGTATAAAGTAACAATAAACAAAACATATTTTTGAGGTTTTTGTGTTTTACCTTTTTCTTTTGTGTTCTGCAAGCCAAATCTCCAATGTCACCCCATCTACTGCCCTTAAGTGTACCTGATTGCCTGCAAATTCCCATAAAGTCCAAAGCAATCACCTCCTGTGCTGGAATAACACTTAATTTATAGTAATTTGTTGTCATTCGAACACAACTTTATGTATGAATATACATAATGTGAGCACTTTAGGGGATTTAAAATAATAAAGCCCATTTAGCTAGATTTTGACACGGGGTCCCTGTACTTTATTTGTGCAAATTCTCTAATAAATTTGAAATTAATCAATTTACCAAAAGCAATTGACATGCAGTGAACCTGGTGCTTTTGGAGCCCCTGGGGGTCTGGAGTGGCGGGGCAGCTGCCCGCTTTGTCCAGCTGGTAATCCAGCCTTGGGGACTTTAAAGACGGAGCTAAAGTGAACTGCTGAAGCTAAACCACCATTATTCCAAACACCATCTCTCACCAGAAAGTGTAACAACATTCACAAATACATATACTGACTTTATTTACTGAGATGTTATAATTGCGGCAAAGAACTGAACAACAGTGTAGGAGGGTTTCTTGTCTCTGTCCCCTCGTCTTTCTTTTTCTGTGTGATTTCTCAATGTTCTTCTTCACACAAACACAACCGCACAGTGATTGTGTGTGTGTGTGTGTGTGTGTGTGTGGTGGGTGTGTGTGTGTGTGTGTGTGTACAGCAGGGGGAGAGTGTGTTGGCCCTCTGATTCATTTCACACCCCACTGATCTGAGACCTGTGACTGTGGCTACGGCCTCTGTCTACTCCTCACACCCTCAGAGAGTACAGGTGTCAGGGGACACATGCAGGAGAAACACACACAGATATTCATGCACACACACACACACACACACAAACACGCTATGTGACCTCTAAATATTCTTTGACAGAATACAAGGTTGGGGGAGCGGCTGAAATATTAAGCAGAAATAACACCACTATAGGCTACTTCACAGCCAAAGATATTTCCTCTTAATATTCCTAATATATTATTGTAGTGCATCATTTAATCTCCATTCATCTTCCCTCTGCTCGCAAGACAAAACACAGTATTGCTTAAACATTACACAACTATGCTGTGCTACAAATTTTAAACAGGCCATTACAAGCCAAGTGAGGAAATACAACTCTATTAAAGCCATAAGTCCTGAAGGTAAGAGAGAAATGTTCACACCTGGAAACGTCTTACTCAATATACAAGCAAAGTGGGAGAGGAAATGCTTTACAATGCTACAGAACAACATTTCCTGCCTCCTCACTTTTCATTCATGAAGCTAAGTTTACAAACTGCGCTTGCCCCAGTTTAGTGCCTTTGAGGTCTGTGTTGAGCATGTGTGCCGTTTCCCTTGATGCCCTTCATCACACTGGGGGCTGGATTTGTGCGGGGAGGTGTGACCTAAAGTGTCACCCACGTGACTGTATGGTGCCAGGTGGACCGGGCATGTGATGTCAGCGCCAGAAGCCAGGTGGGCACCATCTCAATAATGCATCATGCCCAGCGCCGGCACTGGAAGGAGCGCCACTTTGAAGTGTTCCAGAAACATCTGTAGCTTGAGTTTTTAATCACCTTGCCTGTACCTCCCTGCTTCCCATCAATCCTTCTCCACTTCTCCACTCTTCACAACCTTCATCCCTCTCTCCCTGCAAAGAAATTAATGAGAAGTCTTCTTAGTTTGTGTTTGAGCTTGTGCACTAGTGTGTGCATGTGTTTATGTATACACAGCCACCAAGCTGCAAAATTCAATCAACAGGATAAACAAAATTCAAAACAGCTCCTTGTCTTCTGGATGTTTGTGAAATATTCAGAGAGGCAAGAATTATCAGAGTCCTGTTAGATAACACACATTTACCATCAGCGAAATAGCAATCACCTGGAACTGCAGGCTCCAATACGTCACAGGATGTGCATACTAATAGTCTCTTCCCAAATATCTGATCAAACGAAACAATGCTGTAATGAAAGGCTAGAAATCATGGAATACGTGTGTACAGTGCAAGACCTCTTTGTCAAATCTTTGTCAATGACCATCATTTTTTAACAAAAGAAAGATGTGATGAAAGATGAGGTGTACCAGAGGGAGGACAGAGAGGGAGAGATTTACCAAAAAGTGGAACATATTTGATGTGTGGCAAGAGTCCAATAACCTCTGGATGTGAGAGGGAGCCCAGGCTGCATAATAGCTCTACCACACTACCACATAATGAATAGCTTCATAGCAGAGTCTGACCAGTTCAACAGGGGGCCATAAACACATTACCTTCCACTAAATGTGTGCACATACACAACCCCACGTGCACTCACAAATCCACAAACTGGTAGTATTACAACGTTTACATCCAGGAACAACTGCTTCACACACAAACACATACTGTACATGTGAACTCACAGCCCTTCAGGGTTGTACAAACTGGTTATTGCCAGCTAGCTGCATGCTGGAAGCTGTTGCCCGTTACTGGATTGGCCAGCATGGTGTGCTTGATTAATTAGCGTGTCATTCACATACAGAGGAGACTATTAGTGTTCATCTGCATACATTTAGAAAACTGGAGAGGAGAGAAATGAATATTAGGCCAATGGACATGGATTTTGGAATGACTAAATGAATGAACAAACATTAGGGTCATCTGTTGGCTTTTAAAATTAGATTCAGTGCAGCACCCAAAATAATGAAAGGAAAGGGGTGTAACAATTAAGAGAAAGGCGAAAGGCAAGTGAAAGAATCTGTTCATACTTTTCTCAGGCAATGCTGTTTCTCATGATACAGATAGCTTACCCTCCCATTGCAGACACAAAAGATTGGTGGGAGGTCAAGTAGGGCACACCCAATGGAAACAATTAGGACAGGTTACTCTTTCCATAGTCTCTCATAGATCTCTGTCAGATACATATGACAGTCAGCACAGCCTGTTTTCCCTCTGTCACATGCAGGTTTGTAGGCATGTAAGTGAGAGAGAATAAAAGTTTTTAGTCCATAAAGCTATCAAGGAAATAAAAGTGCATCATAAATACACATAGGTAACCAAATCCACATACTTAACAAAGCTGGAGCTTTTAGGGTAACGCAAGAAGGATGGATCCATGTGCAGAGCAGAACTGTGTCCTAAATTCACATGTGTGTAATTATGCAGACACTGGGGGACTTGTGCACGTCTCAGAGTCTGCATGAGGACTTTGGAGTGTGGGACACTTGAGCCCTGACCACTTCTGTATGCAAATGAGTGGGCTCACACAAACACACATACATATGTTCCACCATCCAGCGTGTTCATGTGCCATGATCAGTGGTCGGCTCATTTCAAATGTCACTACAGAATGCTGGTTGTACACTGACATGGCCATGAGTGAGACTGTGAAGGGAATACTCACCAGGGGGAATAAGCCTCTCCCTCCCTCACACACCCGCACAAACACACACACACACACACACACACACACACACACACACACACACACAGATGTTATAGGCACACAGCTGCAGCTTCACTGCCCCCTGCTGGTTACAAAAATGCACATTCTTCTACTCCCTTTTCCTGAAACCCCTCCAACCTCCCACACAGACATCGGTAATACTCTAATAGGATATGGAAACACTGTTCCTCTGCAATTATAACAATACACACATTTATCCAAATGTCGTCAGACAAGATCTCAACAGAGACTGTGTCTTGGATTTTCTCACATCTCACATGGTCTTGCACATCTCACCTCTCTGTACTGACATCATGAAGTCACAACCACAGTATCTGACCCAGTTTACTTCAGTTTCTTCTCTGTGGTGCTGCAGCCTTCGAGCCCTGAACAGCCCTGTTAACAGCAGGAATTAACATGCTGTACAATAAAGGTGGGTTTCTCCTGTTGTGAGTCTTAAGACAGAAAATTGGATCCCTGCACCGCACAGCAAAGAACCACTTCAAGAAAACCTGAAAATGACTTTTATTTTTACAATGAAGCTCTTAAAGCAGAAAGAGGTTGACAGTGGATCTGTAACTGATGTAGTTAGCTTTGAAAGAATACAGCAAAACCATATTTGTTAGTATTATATCCACATGCACACAGATACCTGAACACTTACAAACACGTGGCTGCATACACAAAGCAAGCACGTCCTCTTTAATCATAGCTTTTTTGCCACTGCAAAGAACATAATTGTAGTATAAGAAACAAACAGCTAGCAATCATGTAGAGCGGTTGGCTGTGGCATTGAATAATTAGGTTGGCCGTGTGCGCCTCACTAATCACAGGGACATATAATGGCAGCATTGGGTGAAGTACTAAAACAACTACATTTAGCTGTAATATATTTACTGATCACTCATTCAGCATGCACAATCCCTGTTGTCTGGCTGGCTCTTCATCAGTTTGAGTTTAGAGAAACACACATGGAGCACAA